TTTTTTTGTTTTTTTTTCAAATCGAAGTTAGGCTCTGATACCAAATTGATGTAGATTGTATTAGGGATGAGAAGGGAAGAAGAAAGGGATGAGAATAGAGAGAGAATTTTAAGAAGAACATTCAATATCAATAATCAATAATCAAAGTCTCCCAAAACAAATGTCATATTCCCTATATATATAGGGAGAACACAAATCCTAAAAGAACTCTAAAAGAAATAAATAGTCATAATGACAACTAAACCCTTAAAAGTTAAAAGAAATTACTTAAACGATAAATATTAAAAGTATCTAAATAACTATCATAATTAATCTGTCCAATTCCTACACGATCCTCATTAGGATACCTCTTGATTTTGTACTACTATATAGATGCATATTACTTGTTTAAAGATCATGTAAACAAAGTACTGATAGATGGTTGTTGACCTCACGGTTTGTTGCATCAGTAAGCATCTCGAAGATTTTGTTCCTTACAACTGCTCGAGACTGAATTTCCAAAACATATTAACTGCTTTTTAACATCAACGTGTAGGTAAAGTAGAAAATGATGGAGAAAAAAGCACAGCAGATGTTCAAGATGACGCTCACTCTGAAAAGGAACAATTTGATCTGTTCCACCTTTTATGTGGTTTTTTGGTTTATTTTCTTCTATTGTGATCAGTTTGATTATTGATTAAGTTGTGAATTTTATGATGTTCAAGATGTGAATTCGGTTTGGATGTGTTGGTGTAGTGCGGGCAAGGAAGCACAGATGATGAGCTAAGCCCAACGTGTGTATCTTCTTTGTTGGGTATCCGGATTGAAGGTGTTGCAGCAGGACTCTGGCACACTGTCTGTATTTCTGCTGATGGTGATGTTTATGCATTTGGGGGGAATCAGTTTGGACAGTTGGGAACCGGTGCTGAACAAGCTGAGGTACATTTTTATTCATCCTGTGTGTGTTTGTCATCATTTCTTTATTATAGTAGATGTTATGATAATATCATGTCAAACAAGATATATCTTTTCCCAGCCAACACAACCACCCCAAAACTGCTGCAAAAAAAAAAAAAAAAAAAAAAGAGGTCATTACTCAGTTTGTTCCCCATTAATCATGGTGTCTTAGACCACTTTTCTAGAGATGCTAAAAATGGATGGCCTTGCAACTAAAAAGTGTTTCCTTATGAGTTTTGCACTTTTTATAGACAATAGATGAGTATTCCCACACATATTTCAAGCTGTGAACGATTTGGACAGAATAGAAATTTGTTTTAGTCAATATTAACTCTAGTTAAATTCTGCTTCAGACTCTGCCTAGGCTTCTGGATGCTCCTAGTTTGGAAAATATGCACGCAAAAATTGTTGCTTGTGGTGCTCGTCACAGCACTATAGTTACAGGTATGTAATCTGTTTTCATATTTTGATTATTAATTATTTTTGCCGCCTTGAAATAAAACAATCACTTGTTTGGGAAAATTTGACTCCTGCCAAGCTCATGTTTGGGCCTTACCAGTTTCTGGAGGAACCACGATATATTAGGAGTTCATTTAAGCTCCCTTGGAGATTTTCTTTTAGGCTACAACTAATTAGATGGACGAAAAAAGTAAAAAGTTGAATATTAGCAACTATGCCAACTCTAAACTGGGCCAGCGACGACATGGGGTAACTAGGGTCCCCATGATACCCTATGATATAAAATTTTTCCATAAATATGGAGCAGATGCTGTGTTTGCTGTTGCTGGTTTGAGAAGCCTCTATCGCAAGTATTTCTAGTGTGAGAGAGAGAGAGTGAGAGAGAATGGTGAGGGGACCAATTTTGGTGTGAGGCATCATATACTACCTTCAGTTTTTTATTACATATTTGGATTGCATGGACAGCTGCTGACTAGTTGTGGATATAGCCTAGCTGGCGAACAGAAAAAGACGAGGTTGAAAATTCTTAAAATTTTGATGGATTTAAAGAACCCACATAATTGTGAGAAAACTCCTAATACCAATTTTTCAGGCAGGGATTTGTCTAAATGCTGTGTCTGGTTTTAGTGAAAACACAGAAAAAGAAGTAAAATTTTGGTGTCATATTCATGTCAACCATTACAATTTCAACTATGTGTTAAGTTTCAACTTTTCTATCGTTTAGTTTCTTCACATGTAGCTAAACTTACTCAAAGCTTTCTAAGATAAAGTGTTGCATGAGTTCTTGAAGTTATGCAAATGAGTGGTGAAGAGAGAGGTTTTCAGTGGATAACTAACTAGAATTTATTGAGGACCGTCTTTAGTTGATATGCTTGGGGCAAGAAATATGAAAATGTGAAGCTCCACAAAGGGTGGAGTGAAACTCAACTTGGGTGGATATGATTCCAGTAAAGTTTAAATATCATAAAATCCTTGACACACCTGTTACAGTTACTAACAATGTCATACCAGAAATAAAATCTTGTGGGCAGAGCTTTTTCATTATTAACCGTCTGCTTTTGTTCCGTGAAGAGGATAGCAAGGTGTTCTGCTGGGGGTGGAACAAGTATGGTCAGGTAATGTGACAAACTTTTTGATCCAATTATCAATTGCATATTGTTTTCCTGGCGTTCAAGTGTTTGGAGGCTCCACAATTATCACAGCACTCCCTTATATAGTTTTCGTTGTCTTGTTACTTTTTTGATTTATCAGTTCTTGCTTGATACAGCTTGGTTTAGGTGATGTGATTGACCGTAATATTCCATCCCAAGTTGCAATCGATGGTTATGTAGCAAAAAATGTCGCATGTGGCTGGTGGCACACCCTTCTTCTTGCTGAATCACCCACCTAAGCATCTGACTCCCAGGCGGCGGCCTGGGCACAGTTTTGTTAGGTTTGGAGTTTCTCTTTCAACAATATTAACACTAGTTAAAACTATATGTATATGTGCATACAGTAGCTTGTATACATATACATATAAGCAAGTTATCATTCTTTCATGATCTAGGTTCAATGACTGGTCAACTCTATTAACCATGCTGCAAAGGAATGTGATTGCCAGATGTAAAAAATAAACCCTAGTCCTCTGTGAATATCTGTATCACTGTATATTGGATGATTTGATGTCAAGCCTATTTCCTTGCAATGTAACTGTTGGTATGATGGAATGTGCCTGTGCATTTCCTTCGGATTCTAAGTTTTTGCCCTTTCATATGTTCCTCCATGATTGAAGGCAGTGGGTAAATAAGGAAATTGTATTTCTATAGCCTATAAACTGCGTGTAGTCCTGTCAATGGATCAAATTCTGTTATATCGGAATCCGAATTTGATTACAGTTTGCATGTTCCAATCCTATCCAATGTAATTTAGTAGCAAACGACTCCTCAAAATGGACAAAAACCAGAATACTATTTAGGAATGTAATTACTGGTCTTATTCTCCACTCCTTAACGTCAATGACCAGAAATATTGAAAGGAAATCTAACAGAAACTTTGTGGTACTCTTTAAGTGAAAACCAAAATCCACACTTGCCAGTAGTGTACGCAGTACAACTCTTAAGAAAAACTTTGGGCGGCCAACTTTTCTCCCTTGTTTAGTAAAGTCTAGCTTTTCCATAGAAGTAGGTGTTTGTTAGGATAGGGCTCAGAGAGATTTCGATCTTCTAGTTAGATCTGGGTGTGGCCCACTCAACTCGAAGGATGAGATTGTCGTACCCATATCCATTAAGCTTATTGATTGCCCTCTCAGCATCTTCCTTGTTGACGAAGTTGACAAAACCAAAACCTCTGCTCACACCTGTCTTTTGATCAATGGCGACATAGACACGACTCACAGAGCCAAATGTGCGGAACAGCTCCAGCAAATCTGGCTCCCGGGTGTCTTCTGAAAGATTAGTGACACGAACCGAGTTCTCTTCATTTCTGCGTCTCATATCTGAACCAGCAGGCCTTTCTGCACCTGCTCTCATGCTTGGAGGGACATATGCTCCCTTGGTAGTACCAGACGCCATGGTCGTCTCAGAGATAGGAGGTTTATCAATAAAGCTTTCGGTTTGAGGGCCAAGATCCTTGTAAGGGCATCTAGCTGTCCAGTGGTCACCATTCTTTCCACAAGTTCTGCAAACCATGAGAACAGCACCTCCTTTACCAAGCTGAGCCAAGGAATCTCCAGCTACCTTAGTTTCTTCTGGTTTAGAACCTATTGGCAGCACCACATTATGTTAAATTAAAATAAGGTGAAAACATTTGTAAACATAAAAGCATGCATCATTGAATGTCAAGAGCCTACGAAATTGAGCCAACTTACAGAAGATTGCTAGATGGTAAACATATCCTTATGACTCACCAAATACTTTCTTTCTTTATTCTAGAAGCCACAAGGGCGCAGATAACAGGGGCCTGTTTGGACTCATTGGTACAAAAATGAATTCTAGCAAAATCATCTCACACAATCTTTCCCATCCATTCTATTTTTCATAGATGCAATCCAGTGTATACAATGAAACATGATATATGGAAGATTATAAACCAAACGAAACAGAAAGATGATTCTCTACAGCATTCTAGTAAATACAAAGTAGCAACTTAAAAAAGAGATCAGAAAATGCATCGCAGAAACGCATCAGAACAATTGGGACAGATCAACTGATACAAAACTCACGTTTTTTCTGCCTTCTGAAATGTACTGCGTTCCAGTGAGCAGGACCAAACATAAAGATGCATAGTTTAACAAATTTGTGTTGCATACAGGGGGTATTTTGAAAGAAACAATTTTGGAAAGAGGTCGTTATATCAATTTCTTTTGACTAGTGAAGTTGAGTCAAAAACACACAGAAGAAGGTCAAGGGACCAAATAATATACATGAGTAATTGAATCCTAGTCAATCAATTCAAGCACAAACTGATGTCACTTCCTTGCGAGAAGGGCCTGTGTCAGCTTACGCCATTTGAGGTGGGCAATAGAGTTGAAATAGTTTTAAGCAGAATTAGTTACATAGTTCAATTAAAAACTAGTTCACATGTTGAAATAATTTTTATCGAATTCCAATTCCAGGCACTTGATTCCCATGTTACCAAACACGGGATAATCCAAGATGAAAGAAAATTTAACGCTTAACTAGAGCTTCACAAGGCCACATGCATTCTTTTCTCAACACAATAATTTACCAGGCTCAGGAAATTGAGCAAAGGGTGCTTGTAAAAATTAGCCACCAATCACCATTTATAATGCAACAAAGATCTATCAGTGTTTTCTCTGACCAACAAATTCAAATCAAGATGAATGGAAAAGAAGTAAAAATGTTCGAGATGAATACATGGTGAAACAATAAATAAGAAAATTCCAATTACTACATGAATTTGAACTTAGCATTGATAGGTGCAAAAATCAGAGAAAGTAAGCTTGAGATAGTTTGAGCATGTGCACCACAGGACAAGTGCTGACATCTATGCCACCAGTAAGGATTAGGATGAGGGAAAGGCAGGAAAAGAAATAATGCTGCTAGGGAGAGGAGAAGAGAGGAGGAACTTGTTGAGCTCATTTCTATATGTACCTCATAGAACAACAATAAACTATAAAGGATTCATATATATGATCAAATTCACAGTGCTCCGTTGCAGTTGTGAATTTACATTGGAGAAGTGGGGGCACCTGCCCCATTGTAAACATCAGAAGTTTTGGTGTTAGTATAAAATATTGAGAAATTTCCATTTTTTTGGTACTTGTCCCCGTCATGAATTTAGTGAGAGCTTTAGGAGTTTTATATTTCAGAAGATAAGTGTCACAGTGTCATGCTCTGGGTTAGAGAAGACAAAATAAGAACACAGCTTTATGTAGTCAAACTTCTGCGTAAGAAAATAAGGCTTTTGTTCAAGTGAATTTGCTAAAATATTCACACAAACATGTGTAATTTTCTAATGTATTAAAACACTTCCTCTTCTATAAATGAAATGTTCATAAATGAGTGTGGTCTTCCACAAAGTTTAATCCGAGACGCCTTTCTTTGCCCGGCATAATCTGCTGTACTGAAGTTGAATTCGAATCACCTTATTCTTCATGTTACATAGGCTTTAATCAAAATAATCATGAATTATCTTCTCCAAAATTTTAGGTTTTACATAATATAACCTTTAGATCCACATACCCTTTAATCAAAATCCAAATAACAGATGTAACCCAGAACCAAGAAATTCAAAAAATCTTCATCAAATGTTAATCACACCCATATCAAAAAACACCAAAAAATATCAAATCCTTCACAATTTGAACTACTGAGACAAAGACCCAGAGAGAGGGAAACATACCAGGGGCTCTAGGTCTTTCAATCAAGATTTCCTCAGTGGACACCATGGTGAGCCTACTCCCAACATCCTCATGGACCGCATCACCAAACTTGGGCCACGACCGACGCTCGAGTGCCCTTTTACTGAGTCGGGCCTTGGCGAGCTTTCGAACTCGGGTAGTTGTCGTGATCTTGACCTTATTGCCCTCGTCGTTAAACTTGTACTCTATAACTCTCTTGATCCCATTCTCGTTTGGTCCGATGACCTGCTTTGGTGGTAGGAGGAAGTTGAAGTCTTCTCCTTCATCTTCTTCTTCTAGCTCTCCCCACCGAAGCTTGCTCGGCGGTTTCTGGGTGTTCGAATTCGGAGCCGAACCTCTGTCTAACGCCATGATTAATGGATAAGGGATGATGATTTCGCAGATTGATTGGAGTTTGAGTTTGGGTTTGGGTTTGTGTTCTTTAGGGTTTGGAGGATTGAATTGAGCGGAAGCGGATGAGAACTGATGATATAAGATACGTTAAATAATTTATTTTTAAATAAAATTGAATAAAAATATAATGAATAAGATCTTAATTTGTCTAAGTAAAAATTCTGTATTTTTTTAATAAAAAAATATCATTTTTAATTAATTTAAAATAATTTGAACATTTTTGTGTGTTGTTTAGCATTGGACTCGCGATAAATCCAATTACATGTCGAAGAAAGTCGGGTCTCTCGTCTGTATAACAATAATTTTGATTGGAAGTAAGCTTTTCATTCTTAAATCCTAAATTATTATATTTGGTTAGTTAATTTTTTAGTGATCAAAGTTGAGAATAAGATTATTATTGTAATCAAATTTCAATAAAAGTAGGTATCGTAAACTCGTGATTAGTAATGATAATCTTATACCTATATTGATTAGATATTCTAAAAAAAAAAAAAAATCTCAAAATAAAATTCCCTTCTTAAAATTAACTTTACTATAAAAATCAAACTCTCTTCCTACAATTAAATTATTTTCTAAAAAAGTATGAAAATAATAATTGATTATTGACAATAATCAAACACTAAATATAAGATTACTACATTAAATAACATCTGCTATCACATTCTTATTCCCAATTAAAATTATTATCATCCAAACGTGACTTAAATGCTAATTTTGTGATAAAATTATAGCAATTAAACACCCAAATTAAATTTTTGATATACATCCAGAGGATACTAATTTTTGCCAAAAGGCATCAAGACAGATTAATTTATTTTTGACTTCATATTTAGAAAATTAAAAATGAAAACAACCAGGATAACTCTCATTTGACCAAAAAAAAAGTATGGAAGTTATACGCTAGTCGTACAGTCAAGGAGGTCAAGTTAAGTCATGTCCCAGAAAATAGACCCTTATAAGAAAAAATTGCGTAAACAAAATTTTTCTTACTATACAAGGGGTGGAGCGTTAAGAAAGAGAAAATATTATAACTATACGACATGAAGTAGCGGCTATCACGCTAAGTTAAGATCAACCACTTGAAAAACGTAGAACATTTCTTTTTCGGTTGTCTGTCTTAACAAGTGGATTACAATTTATGTGGTTGTTCTCTATGGGGGCATACAACAATACATCAATTCATTCAACAAGATCCATTTGGATGTAAGACTTCTGATGCCAACAAATGTCACATGCCACATTTGTGAACAGCTAAGCCCCAAAAATGAATGAATTGTGATATAGCCCTAAATGAGCCACTACTTTATTTTTGACTCGAAATTCATAAAGAATTTTAAAGGAGAAAAAATAGGAACCCTTACACCATACATTCTACTGCCTTAGGATGATTGCAGGACGCTAATAGTTTTCATTTTTCATCTCATAGAAAACCCTTTTTGCTCCGCTTAGCATTATTCCCCTCTAGGGTATAGGAACTAAATAATCTTATTTGGTCAAATACCTAGGGACAAACTCTTATGTTCCTTTCATTACGATATTTTTGAACAAGTTTTGATAACAAGTCTAAATGTTTTCTTTTTGATGATATCGATATTGATGATAGTAACGATATTAATACAAGTGACAATATTCATCGTGATCTTGATACTGAGCTGGAATTATTAATTATGTTGAATGCGCTAATTATAGATATGATATTGAAAATAGACCGATTTTATATCACCTTTCAATTCGAATTAGTAAAAGCAATACCTATTTACATAATATGAATTTCACACATTCACGATCTGAATCTGTATAAGTCGAATTAGTTATTCCTCGGTTTATTAGTGAGCCATATCCCCGGAATTGTGAAAAGGGTTGCTGATTGGAGGGACAAACTGGACCCAATCCACTAGCCTTAGGCTTCAAGTTGAGTTGATGGTCTGGGTGTAGTTAGGCTTAGGCAGACCAACCCAATTGCTTTAACATCTCATTCAACTTAAAAAACGTTGGGTATTTATATCCTAATGGCATCGGGCCCGAATAAGGAAAGCCCAAGTCCAAGGTGGAACTAAATTGTGGGCTAATACTTATGAATGTCGTTCCTATATATTGAAGATGTTGCTCTACAACAATGAACTTGCAGTTCAAAGATTTGTGGGTTTTGGAACTTTTTTTTTTTTTTTTTTTTGGGGGGGGGGGGGGGGGGGGGTTAGGCTTGTCCCTCACAATAGTGAAGTGTTTCTACAAAAGCATGTGTGTGACCTTAAATTAAAGTAGAGGTTGGTGTAACCAAGACACGAACACGCCTTTGCGAAATCGAGAGAGAAAATGTGAGGTTTTTTTGATGAAGGCACATTTTAAACCTGTGAGCCGAGTTACAAATAAAAAATGGAGTTCAATTGTATGTCACCTTATCATCTGCCAATGAAGAGCTATACCCAAAACAATAACAAAGTTGCACAATAATATACAAGCTATTGGGATGGCCCTTATTAAGGTATAACGTGACACAACAGAGCAATAATAGACATTATACCGAGGAATATTACTTATATTAGTTCTTGATCATGCTGAATTATATAATATGCCAATGTTGAACCAACAAAATAATGACAGATAGTAATAGCTTGTCCTCTTTCCCATTTCAGCAACAAATATTGCCAGTGGTTGCATGGTTGCTTTCCTTTCCTTATTGTCATTGTTCTCACAGAGGATATATAGAGGGTAAAATGGATGGTCGAACACACTTGATTTGAAACATAACAGTACACAAGTAGGTGATCAAGGAAAAGAAAGCCTAGAGCATTTGCAACTTTCTGTTGAACACTGCCTAACAATAGGCCTCTTATCTAAATTTCACTTTGACTGAAGCTTACAGAGAAAAGGATAGATATCCTTTCCATGTTTTGCATTCTATTATTTTAGTGTTTAAGCTTGTGAATTAGAGTGTTTTTTAACTTAAATTTAACACTTAAAATGAATGTATTTAGTACTTATTAATTAAGCTTATTTGATAATTAAAATTTAAATTCTCTTAATATGGTAAGTACTCCTTAAAAATAGGCAACAATATTAAATAGGAGATCTCTTACTTAATTTTGAAAGCTAAAAACGCTCAGTAAAATCATTTTTAATAATATTTATAATATGATAATTATACCGCGAAATTTTTTACAATTCTATTAAAATTCTAATTAGTCTTTTCTTCAAAACTCCTAACTTATATATTCTCCTTGTTGATCTTTTTTTTTTTTTTTTTCTTTCACTTGTCTTCTGTAACAAAAATATAAATACATAATTATAATTACACACATAAACGCACAAACATATGCACTGCACACACACACACACACTTACACATACACACGCACATACATATTATTAATGAAATCTAATTTATTGTATTTTTTCAATATTATTTGATTATTTATTAGTTATTGTTCTTTTTTTTATCAGATATTATTGTTCACTTATTATGTTATTTAATTTGTTATTGTTCACTTATTGTGTTATTCAGATGATATTTATTCATTTATTTTGATCAAATATTTATTAAATGTAGACTATAATATAATAATAGTGATTATGATTTGTGTTATGACATTTTTTAAATATTTTCAGATTAAAGAATGGAAGGATAAAATTGAAAATTAATTTATTTTCAGACGTCAACTCTGTGTAGTTATTAAACAGTTTAGTTCAATTCATTAGTTAAATTTCAGTGAATACTGAACAGTTCACAAATTCAGCATTCAACTTTTAGACTTCAGCTTTCAGTTTTATCAAACACCACCATAGTAAAATTACCTTTCAAAGATCTAGGTTTGGGGCTTTTGTTGTTAGGTTGGGGTTTGGATTGGACTCTGGGCTTCAGGGTTTAAGGTCGAGTACGGGTCTGAGTCAAGGTTTCAATCTTGGGTTTGGGGTCCGAGAACAAGTCCGGTACCGAGATTCAGGGTTCTGGGTTTGGGTCTGGGTCAAGTTCAAATCTAGGTTTGAGTATGAGGTCTAGGGTCTAGGGTCTGAGTTTGGGGCCAAGTTGGGTCTTCGTTTGATGGGTCATGGGTCCGAATCCGAGTCCGAGTGAAAGACGGACATATAACCTATCAGGTAGCCCCAGGAATGTGATGGGTACCAATCTCAATTATTGTAAGAGATTACTAATTTGATTGATATGTAATTTGTTAGAGATTATGATCATATTAATTTAAAATTTATATTGCTACGACAGTTTTTAAAAAAAAAACATTTAATCATTCACTTTAATTGTATAAAAAATTTAATAAACGTTTTAACATGAAATTATCTGCAAATTCGTCCTCCATTAACAACTAATTAAAAAGCTTTGATGGGAAAAAAAAATGATATATAAATAGTTGCTGTTGGCTTTTTCTCTAGGGAAAGATAACTCCAAGGCTGACCCCACCAAGATATCATGAAGATACATCACAGCTTATCAGGAATGGGCCTCTGAATGATTGTATGTATATGGACCTTTTCGTAGAAACTTCCTTTATTATATGCTCATTTAGAATTTATTGGAAATAATTAATGACTCTATTCACTAGATCCAAAAATTTAATTATAATTTAGAAACGAGTCAAGTTTAATTATGATAATTATGGTAAGATTTATGATTAATTTTTATATGGGTCATAAGCCTAGTTAAGTAATAGATTAAAAAGTGAAGTACAAAATTTTTTTAAATATCAAGAATTGTCTATAGTTAACCGAATGATAAATTTCTTAAGAATTTCTTTTCGATGAATACAAATAATTACAACATTGAGATCATCTTCCATCCTACTGAGAAATTAAGCGAATTTTGTCGTTTGCTTCTAACTTTATTAATATACCGAAAAAAGTTAGGGGCAACTTTCCAATTTTTTTGTTCAAAAGAGGCGCAATGTATTAAATAAAAAAGATGTATTGTTTTTTTTTATCAATATACATAAGTGATGGAATTTCATATTTGTTCCGCGCAACCAAAAAATATTTTTAAAAAAAAATTGATTAGGGATCAATACTAAGCCAAAGTTACTACAAAGAAACAAAGA